ATTGAGCCTGGTTCTGCCAGAGGTTTCTCCCTGTTAATGAGGGAGTTTTTCCTCTCCACAGTCGCCTGTGCTTGCTCATTGTGGGAACTGTTGGGTTTCTCTATGTTAATATTGTTTTAAGGTCTTGACCTTTAAATGTAAAGTGCCTTGAGATAATGTAAATTATGATTTGGCGCTATATAAATAAAATTGAATTGAAATTGAATTGAACTCATCTCTCTTTATCACCGTGGTAGCCAAAGAAACAGAGGCCACCTCTCTCCACTCTTTAAGGAGGTTGAGGTGGTAAATCTGTGTTGCTCCACCCCTGTCAGACCGCACCACTTCATAGTCTACCTCCCCCACTCGTCGTGTGACCACGAAGCGCCCTTGCCACTTGGCAAGTAATTTGGAGCTAGAGGATGGGAGTAATACAAGGACTTTATCTCTTCAGTTGTCAGTTTCATCCCTCTGTTGTACAGGCGCTGCTGACGTTGCTAGGCCTGGGGCAAATTTTCTCGGATAATACCCCAAGTGAATGCCCGGCCAATAAAAACGGGCCATTATCCGGTTCAGTGACTTATCATACCCCAGGTGCCCTGACATGGGGTTATAGTGAGCCGCCTGGTAAACCATTTCCCGATGGCTTTTCGGCACCAACAACTGGGTGATCTCCTCTCCTGTCTCACATGGTACAATCTGTCCCTAATGACTGAAAAGTGTGCGTGAGTGTGTGCTGCATTTGGAGAAACGGCAGAGCCGTCAATACTCACCACCTGATCGGAAGCGTGGCGGAGGGTCTTGTCCTGAGACTGTTCAAGTGGAAATTCGTCCATGGGACTCACCGATGGGAGGGGGCGGTGGGAGTAGAGGAGCCTCACCGATGGGAGGGGGCGGTGGGAGTAGAGGAGCCTCACCGATGGGAGGGGGCGGTGGGAGTAGAGGAGCCTCCGGGAAGAGGCTGGCGGCCTGGCCACCCTTACCAGCTGCCACACCTCCATCAGCGGGCACTCCCGCCAAAAGTGGCCCGACTGGCCGCACCGCCAGCACTCCTGACCTGGTGTTTGAGGAGCCCCCCATGGTGTCGGTCGACCCGATGCGTAGGCTGGGCCCTTAGGAACAGCCTACGCGACTCATTCATTATGAGTCGCCGAGTTGCGTCCCGGATGGAGCCATCTTCTCGCCGCATCAAGGGATGCTGCGCGTAGGAGTGGACGGCTTCTTCGAAGGCGAGACTCCTGAACCGGCGTCGGTGCCCCTCTGGCGTGCAGCCCAGCCGGTCCAGGATTCGCCAGGCCTTCGCCATGCCCTTGAAGAGGTCCAGGTATGCCTCCGTGTCGTCTTCCGGGGTCATTCATTGGAGGGCCACCGTCGGTGGCCGACTGGAGCTGGTCCCTGGCTCGGGCGGCGGGGTGGCCGGACGCTGCATCAGTCCCCGCAGAAGAGCCCGGTCCTCGCGCTGATACGCCGGGATGTCGGCCTGCGTCTGGGTTTGGTGCAGCGCTGCGGTGCTCTCCTGCATCGCTGCCAGGTGCTGGAGGGTTTGTCCCAGGAGGCTTTGTCCTTCCATGCGCTCCTCTCAGGTACTTGTTCAGGCGCCACTTGTGGGAATACTCGGCCCACTCCGGGTACACAGGGGAGGAGAGAATGGCGTTTTAGCAACAGTCTTTATTTCTGGTCGCCTCACCTGGCAACCACACTCATATATATACACGGGTCTCTCAACCCACACACGTCCACACACCGGCTGCTCCAGTCTCAGGATCCCCGCCTACTGCAAGAGAACAGAACCAGTTTACCAGCGTGCTCTTATTGATGGCCTGATTACCTGATTCTGCACAGCTGTCTGATCACCAGCTGAGCCATTTCTCCCTGTTGTCCAGCAGTTGGTGCCCTAACCACCCCCCGCCCTCACACTCACCTTAAAACTAAATGTTGAAATAGAGTCGCTGTTGCTGTTGTCAAACAGATGTACAATAACCTCTTTAAATTGATAAGGAGAAATTTGTATCACCCAAATTGGGTGAAATCCTGTAGCCTGATGTCAAGAGTCTCATGCTCTGCTGGCTGAGCTACCCAGCCATTTCAATTAGTAATGACAGGTTTTAACACAGATCAGTAGTGATTTGGTCACTAACTTACATGACATATATCATTTAATAGTGTGATCTTGAGGGCATCAGTATGACAATGTCTGATTTTCTGTTGCCAGTCTGTTACAATCAGGGATGGATTTAAGTATCATAAACCAATTTTAAGAGTTAAAGTGGTGCCCAACCTTATAAAAACACACTTGAGAACAAAAAGGAAAGGGTTCAATTAGGTTTACATCAATAATGGTCAGACATCATTTGATATGCATTATGTGCAGCTACCATTCTGCATTGAATGTGAAACAACTAAAACAATCTAAATTTACAACATGTAACGGGTATGGTTTGAACCCAAATGCAGCACAAAAAGCATAGACAGTTGGTAACAGTCTTTACAGCCTCACAGCAGATCAGGTGGCAGGCAATACAAACAGCAAAAGGCATCAATTTCTTCATCAAAGCCGTCCACCTGTCTCTTAGACCCCATCCCAACCAGGCTGCTCAAGGATGTTCTACCTCTAGTTAGCCCCTCTTTTTTGACTATGATTAATCTGTCTTTATTATCAGGATTTGTACCACAGTCCTTTAAAGTAGCTGTAATTCAACCTCTTCTTAAAAAGCCCACTCTAGATCCAGAGGTTGTAGCCAATTACAGACCAATATCAAATCTTCCCTTTCTCTCAAAGATCCTTGAGAAAGCTCTAGCCAATCAGCTGCGTGACTTTCTCAATAAGAACAGTTTATTTGAGGATTTTCAGTCAGGATTTAGAGTGCATCATAGCACAGAGACTGCACTAGTCAAAGTTACAAATGACCTCCTAGTGGCATCAGACAAAGGACTCATCTCTGTACTTGTTTTGTTAGATCTCAGTGCTGGATTCAACACCGTTGACCATCAAATTCTTTTACAGAGACTGGAACATCATATTGGCATCAAAGGAACCGCCTTAAGCTGGTTTAAGTCCTATTTTTTAGATCGATCTCAGTTTGTTCATATCAATGATGAATCCTCCGTACATACCAAAGTTTGTCACGGAGTCCCACAAGGTTCTGTGTTAGGACCACTTATATTCAGTTTATATATGATTCCTTTAGGGAACATTATTAGGAATAACTCCATTTATTTTCATTTTTATGCCGATGACACCCAATTATACTTATCGATCAAGCCTGATGAAACCAATCAGTTAACTAAACTTCAAGAATGTCTTAAGGATATAAAAAGTTGGATGACCTACAATTTTCTGATGCTAAATTCAGACAAGTAATGTAATTGGACCCAAAAACTTCAGAAACTATCTTTCTAGAAACTTAGTTACTTTAGAGGGACCACCCTCGCCTCCAGCTCCACCGTTAAGAATCTCAGAGTTGTTTTTGATCAGGATCGGTCCTTTCATGTCCATATTAAACAAATTTCAAAGACTGCTGTCTTCCACCTACGTAACATCGCCAAAATTAGACGCATTGCTTCTCAATGCAGAAAACCTTGTCCATCCATTTGTTACTTCTAGGCTGGACTATTGCAACTCTTTGTTACCAGGTTGCTCCAATAAGTCTCTTAGGACCTTGCAGCTAATCCCCCCCCCCCTCTCTATTATCATCCCCATCTCTAAACATACATGTCTCATTAATGTAAGATACTAACTAAACTTCTTCCCTGGAGTTTCTGTGCTCTCTCGTCCAGCAGGTTCTCATGGATCATGGCTGCTCCCTGTAATGGATCGTGGTTGCCACTACTGCCATGGCCCTGCCTGACATCCACTCTTGTTATGACTATTAGTCAGAATTCCATGACATTAATAAGTAACAAAATGTATTAGGTTGAAATTTGGACTGTTATTTTATTTTTTATTTCAATATTCACAATTATAAGATTATGGCTTGAGCTGGCAATGTTAAAAGTCTTCATACAGTATAAAACACATATGCAGAACATTTGTTCTTTCCATTCAATCCAGGCTGAACATGGTTGTTATGATGGGCAGCTGGGGCAGCTGTGGCTGATGGGGTAGAGCGGTTGTCCTTCAACCAGTAGGTCAGCGGCTCGGATGCCAGCCCAATGCCGAAATATTCCTGGGCAGTATGCTGCTCCCATGAATTGCCCCACATAGAATGTATTATTTGGAAGTAGGTTTTGATAACAGCATCAGCTACATGACATGTATTGTGATGTTATGACACCACTACATTAATGTCCTGCAATTAACTGTGGTTTTACTTAAATGTGAAGTGTGTTTCAGAGAACAACCCAAGAACAGCTTAGAGGAAGACTGAGCAACACTTTGGCCCATTTATCAAAATAATCAATAATACACTAGCAACAACTTCAAAACAACCACTTCTGCTTTGTGACTTAAGTAAGTGTCAAGTGTTAGCTAGTTGATATGTTGCCATTTTCTTCCATATGCTGACTTTCAAATCAAGCTACATTAAAAAAAGCAGTGAGTGCCTGGAACAACACATTCACAACTCTAAAAACAACATAACCTACTTTGGTAAAGACACAAAACATTAGATGTTTTCACATATTGCTGCTGTGCCATTGTTTCACACTGAAGAAAAGGCCAGGTATCTGTGTGTGTGTGTGTGTGTGTGTGTACCTGTACAGATATCTCTGTGAGGACCATTTTGAGCATTGACCTTAAGAGATTAAAATCATTGTATATTGCACTTTCAAAGGGGTGTTAAGAATTAGTTTTAGGGTTAGGGGAATGCCTTATGCCAAAGAGTGTCCTCACTAAGATAGAAGTACAAGGTGTGTGTTAGTGTGTGTGAGTAAAATACTGCTAACATCAGCAGAGTGTGTGAGATCAGCCCAGGCCCAACTCTCCCCTGAGCTGTGATCCGCAGCCTGTGGCAGACTGCTGGTGCGTCCGCAGATTGCAGATCCAGGCAAAACTCTTTCCACACTGCTTGCAGCTAAAGGGTTTCTCTCCGGTGTGAACCCTCTGGTGCTTCTTCAGGTTCCCTGCCTCTGAGAAGTGTTTCCCGCAGGTGTCGCAGCGGAAAGGTTTTTCCCCCGTATGGACTCTCTCGTGGGCCTCCAGGTTGGACAAGCCAGAGAAGGACTTACCACAGGCTTGGCATACATAGCTTTTCCTGCGGCGCTCACCGGATGCAATACTGGTAGCCTGGCTTTTACTGTGGTGACCGAGGAGGCTGGCTCGTTGCTGTGCAGCATTTGCTAAATCAATGCTGGCTAACAGTTCTGGGGATACCCTGACAGCTAAAGCTGACTGTGGAGCCATAGTGGAGCTCATTGTCCTGCAGGTTGAGCTTATACCAGAGACACTTGTTTTATCACCACTGTTACTGTTAGCGGCAGCAGCTGTGCTGGAGGACAGTGTGCTCACTGCAGAGGGGCTGTTGTGCTGCTGCTGTTTCACTGACTGTGCACATTTAATCGTGGCTGGTGTTCTCCTCCATGGATGCTGGGAAGATGGAACCTGGATCCTCTGAGGTACGGACACAGAAGTCCCTGCTGACAGAGCTGGCCACAGAAAAAACATGGAGTCAGCCCACTGTCATTACACCATCCTCCCTGAATGAAACATTCACAGCACTACAACAAATCAGTATCTACAACATGAGTACCTTGTCTCTTTCTTCAAGGTAATACAACTTTTACAGTAGATATAGATATATATATCTACTGTAAAAGCAACTGCACATATATATTTTTTTATATATATATAGTTGCTGCAGTTGCCAGTGTCTGATAGGAAAGAATATGGCTAGTTACCTTGTGACACAGGGGGCTGGATGTGAACTGTGGAGCATCCAGCTGCAGAGGACAAACTCTGCCCTCCACTAATCCTCACTGCTGAGGAGACTGATGGCTCAGCCTCTACAATAGTTACTCCATCTGGGTCGAACTCTGCTGAGTCATCAATGCTGAAAGAACATGAGGGGCCACCGGGGGCGGACACAGAGTCATTATCAGGAGCCCAGTGTGTGAAGAATGTCTCAAGCTCAAACAGAGAGTACTCAGAGCTGAGAGTGGTGCTGTTACTGGATCTCTGTGCTGCTGGTGGTTGCGTGTTGGGGTTGGCTGACGTTTTGGTATCTGGTACCCGGAGTTTGACTGCCACTTTACTGCTGGAATCTTCTGATATCATGGGGGTCGATTGAGGGTCTGCAGACTGGGGAGGGAAAGGGAGGAGAGAGTCGTCATTCAGACTTACATCCCACCAGGGCGATGGGACTCAATGAACAACAAAACACAGGTTGGGAAACATGCCTCTTTGTTTCTCTTAGTTTTAGATGAGAAGATTAATATGACCTCCATAAAATTTAATCTTGACAAACTTCTTTTACATAGAGTTAATACTGGAATTCCTGTAGCAATGACTTCCTTGAGTCTAGAAAAAAGGGGGGTAATGCATTTTATTCAAAATGTTGTACTGTCCCTCTTCTGTGCTCTTACTCTGCAGACTGTGAGATGGGATTCCTGATAACCATGAGCCCTGAGGAGGATCATGATAACTCTGCCAGTGTGGGTCTGTCTTAACTGGTAACCTGCTGCTATTGACAGATCGAACTGTATAACACATTACAGCACTGGCAGTAGGTTCACACTGGGGGCCGGCACTATACAAAACACCCACGGAGAACCCAAGGGACGCCTGAGATCTGATTCTACTTGCAAACAAAGGAATGCTCATTACCAATTAGAATGATTCACTGTGTGTTTAAAATGTAACAAAAATATTGTGTCACAATTTTGTAATGTATAATAAAAAGACAAATTCATGTTTTTTTTTTATAGTTTTAATTATTTACATTACAAACTGTGGACACTGAGGAATTTACAAAATCGTGACACAATATAAAAAGCTACAGTTACATTTACTGTATACATTTGTACTACAGTAGCACTTTAAAATAACACACTCCCCCAGAACAGAGTTTATTGTAGATAAAACAATCTCAGTGGCTCTTGTTTTATATCTGTGTGATTGATATGGCTAAATCTCAGGCTGCAATGCAAAGATTCAGTATCTGAAACAGGTTCATATCAGAGACAGACCCTTATTTCTATCTTCCCTTGTTTTATTAGCATATTTGATTGAGTTCAACGACTGAGTAATCCATCCTCACAATCTGCAGTTCTCACTTTCCCTTGGTAACACCAACAAACTCAAACCCTCTTACTTCGAAAAATATTTTGCACACATGTTCCACATGAAAAGAGTACTTGTTGTACGTGGATCTGAGTCATATTCTGCCCTCTACATTAAGCTATGAAAAGAAGAGCAACTTTCTGACACTGACAGTGAGGTGTTTGTTTGTGAGGTGGAGAGCGATTTTTATGTGACAACAGTGATTTCATTAATAAAGAAAATACACTGAAAGAGCTGCATAATTCAGTGAGTGAGTATGATAGAGAGAACACTGCCTGCACATGTTTTAATCATCCAAAACTGCAGCATTATTAAATTCAGACAGCTGTGATATCACCAATCTATAAAATTTAACAAAACTTTTTTTTTTTATTGATTAAAAGAGGCTCTACATAGAAAGGTAAATATTATACAATGATAATCACCACACACAGATCTGTCGGCTAATGAACCAGAGTGGTGAGAACTTTGTTTGTAGAGGTTCGGTTCTGTCGGGTCAATCTGTGTGATCCCTGAACACTTTTGTTTCCTCCTCATCCTTCCATTCGCACACTATCAGAATCATGCATCCATAAAAATGTAAAGCCCTCTGAGGCAAAATGTGTTTTGTGAATTTGGGCTATACAAATAAAATTTGATTTGATTTGATTTGATCACCAGCATCACACACAAGTGCCACCGCAGTATTTATAAATTTAGAGCAATGGAACCAATAACTTAACATATCAGTGGATCCTAACCTCCACTCTAGGAATTTTTTTGTAAATAAAAGCTTGAAAGTAAATAGTTCTTCTTTCTTTTTGTGAGTGATCTCCAGTGCGTTCTGTGCACCTGATGGCATGGTCACGTTCACTGATTTTACACACACACTCGTCTTTAATGATACACGCACAGCGTTAGAAGATATTATTAAAATCTATGAATGACTCTGCTCTGCAACTCTGTTGTTTAATGGTATCTGAACATAATTTACTGTAACTTGTTATATATCTTTTTCAATTGAAGGTTCTTATGGAACAGTTATGTCGCGCAAGCACAACTAAAGGTGTTTGTTTTAATGTTAATGATGAAGTGGAACAGTAATGTGGCTTCGGTTCACCACCTCACATCTGCATCATCCCGTCTCTCAAATGTTCGTACGCAGTGGTCAGAGTTAGCGTAGAAGTGCACACCTTCTCCCGTCATCTTTTTCCAAAATAAACCCCACCCTTGCATGAGAAGTGGCGTACGCATCTTTCAGGCCCAGTTTTGTGAGTATGTAACTGTTATTAATAAGGCCCCTGGACATTTCCTGTCTCCAAGTCAGAAACAGGCTACAACTGGAGCGAACATTTTAACTAAAAGTTGTAAAACAATGGAACATGTGAAACATTAAACACATTCAACTCAACCAGAAAACCTAATAATGGGTGACTATTTTTGTGAGTAAATGTTTTATGTACATTTTCATGTATTTAAAATCTTTTAAAATTTTAAATAGAAATACGCACAGAAACATGTCTGACTTTTTTTAGGATAATGATGATTAAATATTATAGTTTAAATCTTACCATATAACAGTAGATTAAAGAAAACTGATTATTTTGCACAAGAATGGCAGAAGTCATGCTGCATGAGAGTGCTCTTGAGTGTGCATAGATTATTTTCATCGTAAAAACTGCGAAAGTAGGTTTTAAGAAGAATTTTCTTATTAATATCGGTTGGTGAATGAAGCCCATTGAGTCATCAAGACTGGAAAAGTACTATATAAATACAGACATTTGACCTTAAATGAGGACATGGACGCTTACAGCACAGGAACAGCTGCTTATGGACACAGAACCCAAAGACTTATTTATTTATGTCCTTTATAGAAAGTGTCCTTAGCAGAGCAGTGATAATGACACGATTCTGTAGTTGAATTAATTCATGCAGTGGAAATGAACATTATACTATTTATCATGTGGGCCAATGCACTACAAGTCGCACTACAAGTCTTCGATGTTTATGGCAGACCAACCACTACTCATTTATGTTGGCTATTGTTTAAAACATTTTATATGAAAAGCAATTGTTAAAAATATCGAGGCATTCATGTTGTTTGGAAGTGAACAGATGATGTATGCTTGTTTTTTTAACTTAAAGTTTCAAGATATCAATTTTCCTGTGAATATTTTGGCTCCAGTGAGCTACATGTGGTCTTATTATTATTATTATTATTTTATCATCGATAAACTTCATAAGTATTTATGAATGCTTAGTTCTACATAATATAATAACAGATACTGCTGACTGCATGTTTATGTCTTTGGCTGGTGTCTTTTCTGGTGCTTTTTCAGGTTGCTGGGGTCAGAGAACCTCTCTGGGCAGAGAGGGCACGGGTACGGTCTCTCCCCTGTGTGGATGTTCCTGTGGATCTTCAGGTTCCAGAACTGGGAGAATTTTTTGCCACAGATTGTGCAGCCATATGGCCTCTCTCCAGTGTGAGTCCTCAGGTGAGAGTGTAAGTTTGCCTGTGAGCAGAACCCTTTCCCACAGAACCTACATATGCAACCCCTCTTCCTGGGGATTTTCTGCTGCATATTAGTGCTGCAGTAACTGCCCTGACCCTTACTCGGACCTGGGTCTGGGAATGGTTGGGACCCCTGAACAGACAGCTGCACCCCCTGTGTGTGACCTAGAGCCTGAATAGGGTTAGACTCCGTTGAAAGATCTATAACAGGACCCTGCGGCTCAAAGGAGGAGTGGAAGCTTCTGGAGTTTTCAACTGCCAATAACATTCCTGATGAATTCTCAACAGCCAATCCCCTCCCTGAGCTGCCAGCCTCTGCGCCAATGAGTGTGCCTGACAGGTATGACAGGGGGGAGCAGTGTGAGGATGGCCCTGGGAGGCTGTTGTCATGAAAATATCTACTCCCCCCATTCGTCCACAGTGAAGAACGGCCATAGCTGACCTCTGAGAAGCCCCCCCCAGACTCCTGCAGGTCTAAAAGCTGATTGTTGGAAGCTTGCGTGGTGTCATCAAATGGCAGCCCTCCTCTGTCATCTGTGCTTGACTCCACCAACCCTGGATAAACAGAAAAGGATACTAAGTAACTTTCTTTGCCACACTCAATCAATCAACTAGACAGGATTAAATGTGGCTTCTTCAGGTTTTTCAAATGATATGCTGTACTGTGTGGTTCATTCTCCATGTTGTATTGAGTTGTATAGTGTGTGTAAATCAATTCAATCCAATTTTATTTGTATAGCACCAAATCATAATATACATTATGTCAAGGCACTTTGCATAGAAAGTAGGAGAGAGGCAAAAGAGACCAGGAACACTTGTGCACTGTCAGGTATCGGCTCTGACTAGCTCTAATGAAAACAA